TAGTCCCGCATCGGTCTCCCTGCCCGGCAGGAAGCCTGCTTCTCCCTCTGCCCTTCACCCAGCTCATGCTCACTCTCAAATAAATAAAATCTTTAAAAAATATATATATATATAAATCTACTCTTAAAGTGATGTTTATAACCATGTCTTGTAAAACTTAAAATGAAAGAGCAGTTAACATTGTTTTTGAAGGCTTAGCAAAGTAACACTTGAAAAATACTTTAAGAGATTTACTAACAATCAATGTCTGAAGTACAGTTTTACTTTCTGCTGCTAATGATTGTTCTTTTAATATCCTATTAGAAATCTGAGAAACACGTATAGACACATTTTCTGGAACAGATGTGAGAGATCCAAGTGCTGTTGTAGTAATTGTGTCTAATGCAGAGACACTGGAAGACAGCAGGTTACCTATACCAAAAAGAAAAAAGATACAAACTTTGACACAAATATATTAATACAGTTAGAAGTACTTTAAAGAGGTTGAGAAAATTATATCCTTGTGGAAATTTGTAATAACAAATAAGCTTAAAATAATTGGCTCATTACATCAGCTAGGAAACATTTCAAATATAAATTATTTATGTTCTAGAGTATTCTGCAAGCACATGTCATATTTGTCAGTTTATCAGACCCATCACTATAGTTCACAGTAAACCAAGAATCATTGTGATCTCCAGCTACAGGTAATCACGGTATTATAATAGGTAAAAGAGGTTATAAAATTAATAAACCAAACTTAAGAGTGGTTGGCTTAGAGCAACTAGACTCTAGGTGATTTTTACAAATTTTTACATTTCTGTATCTTACACGTTTTCTATAGTGAAGATAATACTTTCACATTAAAAAACTAATATTTAAGAGTTTTTTCTCTGGGCACCTAGGTGGCTCAGATGGTTAAGCCTCTGCCTTCCTGGGATCGAGCTCTGCGTCAGGCTTCCTGCTCAGCAGTGAGTCTGTTTCTCCCTCTCCCTCTGCCCCACCACCTGCTTATGCTTGCTCGCTCTCTTGCTCTCTCAAATAAATAAAATCTTAAAAAAAAAAAAAAGTTTTTTTCCCCTAAATGAAGATAACAAACAATGGGTGTGGTTAAACTTACTTTATAGAAAACAGGAAAAAAAAAAAAAACAAACCCAGCTAAGATTTGTTTTAATTCAAAGGCAGTAAAAGATAATCCCTAGTCTGACAGATAGTGTGTGCACTGGAGGGGACTAGTGACATGGTCCCCTGAGTTTTTTAAGATAGTAAATGATCAGTTTTGAAATTAGTCTCACACTAATCACACAAAGACTAATTAGAAATGCTTGAACTTACCAAACAAAGTCTTGTGAGTCTCTAGCATGGCCTTTTGTTTTGAGCTGCTATCCTTAATTAATTCTTCCATATTACTGAACAGACTATTCAGGTTTTTGCCAAAAATATCCTGAGCTTCTGCATTGTGCTGATCGATTGCCTTCTTACGATCCAGTTTGGAATGGAGACCAGATACATCTTTTGTAGTTTCTTCAACTGTGGTAAGCAACTATACATGATTTTTTAAAATAAATGTTGTTAAGATGGATATGACAAAACAGTCTAATGAAAATATCTGTGCTACATAAGGATTTCTCCTGATGAGGACTAGTAAGTTTTAGATATTGTATCAGAACACATTTTCAATTCATGCCAATTTATCCAGTTGCCCAGGAATTTCCCCTCATCTAGCAAGGAAAAGGGATTTTGCCAACCTAATATAGTAATTATGCTTCCTCATAAATTTTTCTATTATGTGTTACTATTTCCTCTAACATGCACCTAATAAACAATTCTTTCACCATCTCCCACCATTAGAAGGTGCTAAATTCTTTATGACTGATTAGTTCCAATCATGACCAAAGGGGAAAGTACTGCATCATTGTTCTCAATGTCCCCAAAGTACATTAAAATTATTTTCTTTTTACAAAACTTCAGGAATGTTTTTTTCCTTAAGTCGGAAACTCTAGTGAGGAAAATTCAGATGAAATAGTAAAATAATTTTCTTTAAATTGACAGAAATATCATTTGGGGTGGATAAATAGAATTTCACGGTTAATGCTTAAGCAAAGAAAGTTACTTCTACCCATTCTCTAATTTCTTTAATGCAAGTACAAATCAAAACAAAAGACAAACCCTGCTGGCAGCATCATGAAGTTTCTCCTCAGTACTTTCCAAAGCTGATGTAATATACTCTTCTTCAACAAGTTGTAATTTAGTTTCTTGTAAATGTTTTTGAGTGGTTTCAAGTTCCTGTGTCTTATTTTGCAGGTCAGACTTACACTGGTCAAGTTCATTTTTATTGTCCATAAATAACTCTGTAACCTAAATATAACATTTAAACATTTTTTAAGATTTACAAAATGCTGAACTGGTTGGTGAAACACCTGGCTAGTCCATAATGTAATAGAAGAATCAAACAAATTATTTCCATGCAAAAGCTGTGACAAGTTGTTAACAAGTCACCAGGTAGGTTAGCGCATTTTATATGTTATCTGGTCTCTTCCTGTAAATTCATTACAATTTTCGAGATTAAATGCCAGGTCTAGTGTAGTGGTGTTAGTTCTTCAGGTCCCTTTCAACACTGACAATGTGAGGGTGGCATAGAAAGGTTACGTCTCTCCACCTTAGTTACTCAACATCTGGTTTCTCCTAACATCTGCATTCCCTCATATGATACACACAGTAATGAAAATGTCTCAGCATTATTTAGCTTTAACAATAAAACCGCACAATTCAATTAATTTCTCATAATGCTGCCTTAATGTGTTTAAAATAGAGTTTCTTCATCGTTGATTACAGTAAAATTATGATACAACTTAATTTTAGTATAAGAGTCAGCAAGAAAAAAAAAATCTTAAAAAATATTGGGGGGGGGGCGCCTGGCTGGCTCAGTTGGTAGGGCATGTGACTCTTGATGTCAGGGTTGTGAGTTCAAGCCCCATGTTGGGCATGAAGCCTATTTTAAAAAAAAAAACAGTGGCTTGTCTGAACTGAGATATACAGATGAAGCACACATGGGATTTCAAAGACTTAGTACAAATTAAAAGAATGTTATAAAAGGCGGGGGGTGGTGCCTGGCTGGCTCAGTCAGTAGAGCATGAGATTCCTGATCTCAGGGTTTCGGGGATGTTAAGTTCAAGCCCCACATTGGGTGTAGACATTACTTAAAAATAAAAAATCTTTAGGGGCGCCTGGCTGGCTCAATCAGTGGAGCATGCAACTCTTTAATCTCAGGGTTATAAATTCAAGCCCCATGTTGGGTGTAGAGATTACTTAGAAAAAATAAAATCTTTAAAAAATAAAAATAAACTAAAAATCTTAAAAAAATATCAGGTCCCTCAAGTTCTGAAATTTTCTTTTAATATTCCCTTTTCATGTAACATACAATACTGTTGTGTTTTGGGGTTTTTTCATTCAATACAGTTTTAAATGCTTACCCTATTTAGCTCCTCCTCAATGGCACCAATTTTTTCAATCAATTCTACAATCTGTTCTTCTTGAACAGTTAGTTTTCCACTCATGGCTCTAAAATAAAGTTTAATGAGTTTAACAGTTAATATTTTTTCCTAATTCCTTTAAAACTTATTCTAACAAAACTGTGGGAGTTACACATCATCTCTACCATTTATCACTATGATAATGATGCCTAAATATCAATAAGTAATAAATACAAATTATAAAAAACAAATGTATTCCTTGTTCTTGTCTTATAAATGGACTATTCTTCTTGTGACCTCCATTTTGAAACTGAGAATCCCTACCTATGAGGGGAAAAAAGCATGTGTATATATAAAATTTGAGAAGCTACCAAGCTGACAAAGGACTATAACTCACAAAGTAAAGATGGGGAGGGATACAACCTAAGCGTCTGCAATCAGGAATATGGAGTATAAATAGGACCCACAGAATCCAGGAAAGGCTTGGGACTTAAAGACATCAGGTGTCACAGGAGGAGGGGGTGAGATAAGGGGCAAAATGGGAGAAGTGAGTTAAAGTATATATACAAAGCAATTATACCTCCTACCCCCTGCACACATACCCCAATATACACCCCAACACACACCACCACTGATGTTTTACTAAAGTTATGCAAGAGATAATGAGTGGGGAAAACAAGTGAAAAATACATGGGACCTCTCTGTATTTTTCTTGCAACTTCATGTCAATCTATAATTATTTAAAATTAAAGCCATATAAAAATTTTTAACTGTTTGATAACTACCTGTTAATGTCAAAAGAAAAAGAAGCATTTATAGGAAGCACTAGATATAAAGATTTTAGTTACTGTCACATAAGTAAATTTTACTTCAAACACCTTGCTATCAGGAAATGATTATTCTTGGAAATTAATTTCCACATCCAAGGTCTTACCTAAAATTTTCTTCAGAAATGTACACCCCATTTTTCTCACGGGCTGCAGCAAGATCTCGTTTCAGACGCTCTATCTCTTCTGTATATTCCTACACAAGAAGAACATTGTAGGTGTCAATTTAGCATTTAACTTTTTGTTCATTCATTTTGGGGAGGATATTTAACAAATAAAACATGTACTTAGCCCTTCTATGTTTTTTAAAGCATGAAAAATAAAAGTCATAATCATACTTTTCATTCAATATTAACCTGTTTAGAATAGAGTCTTTCAATAGCTTAAATAAATAAATTCTTAAAAAAAAAAGGGCCATATAAAGAAGATAAACTACAGACTAGGAGAAAATGACTGCAAACCACATTTGTGACGAAGGACTAGTATCTGAAACATTAAGAACTTTCAAACCACAATAATTTTTAAAAATCCAATTAGCAGGGAGTCTGGCTGGCTCAGTGGAGCGTGCGATTCTTGATCTCCAGGTTGTGGGTTCAAGCCCCACGCTGGGTGTAGAGATTACTTAAAAATAAAATAAATTCTTTTTTTTTTTTTTTAAGAGGTGGGGGGCAGAGGGAGAGGGAGACAGAGATCTTAAGCAGGCTCCACACCCATCTCAGAGCCTGACTCGGGCTCGATCTCATGACTCTGCGACTGAGGTCACGACCTGAGTCAAAATCAAGTTAGACGCCCAACCAACTGACCCACCCAGGCAGCTCCACCAAATTTTTTTTCAAAGATTTATTTATTTACTTGAGAGAGAGACAGAGAGAGAGCGCAGAGTCAGAGGGAGACAAGCAGACCTACGTGAGGCTTAATCCGAGGACCCTGAGATCATGACCTGAGCCAAAATCAAGAGTCAGATGCTTAACCAACTGAGCCACCCAGGCGCCCTGAAACTTTTTTTAATAAAAACATTAAAAACCCAATTAGAAAATGGGCCTAAAGACATGAATAGACATTTCACCAAAGAGGATTTGCAAATAGCGAATAAGCACATGAAGAGATGCTCAACACCATTAGCCATTAGAGAAATGCAAGTTAAAACCACAGTGAGATATTTAGCACCTATTATACTCATCATAATACCTAAAATAAAAAATAGTTACAACACCAAATGCTGGTGAATATGTGGAGTAACTAGATCACTCCTATATTGCTAGTGGAAATATAAAATGGTATAGCCACTCTGGAAAACAGCTTGGCAGTTCTTTAAAAAAACTAAATATTCAATTACCATACCCAACAACTTACACTCTTAGGCAATCATTCCAGAAAAGTGAAAATTTATGTTTACACGGGTACCTATAACCAAAATGTTCACAGCAGTTCTACTTGTAATTGTGAAAAACTGAAATCAGCCCATATGTCATTCAACAGGTAAATGGTTACACAAACTATATGTATGATATATACATACCACGGAATACTACTTAGCACTCAAAAGGAAAGATCTATCAATGTGCGCAACTCAGGTGAACCTCCAGAAAATTCTGCTGAGTAGTAGTGAAAAATGCAATCTCGAAAGTCTACATACTGTATGATTCTATTCAATAACATTTTTGAAATGGCAAGAGTTTATTTTATTTTTTTTAGGGTTTTCTTTCTTTCTTTTTTTTTTTCAGATTTTATTAATTTGACAGAGACACAGCAAGAGAGGAAACACAAGCAGGGGGAGTGGGAGAGGGAGAAGCGGGCTTCCCGCTGAGCAGGGAGTCCGATGCGGGGCTCGATCCCAGGACCCTGGGATCATGACCTGAGCCGAAGGCAG